AGACTCTGGATTTTCACGACGTGATACCGTGGTAACTTCAAGTGTGTGCAATCTTTACATGAAACTCTGTTATTCTACGCATAATCATTTGACCAAATTTTATCATAAATGGAGGTGAAATGATGTTCATGTGTTAAATAACTTCATGATACTTTCAAAATCACTTCTATTGAAGTGAGAAAATGCTTAATGGTTGGTAGGTAACAATAATAAAAAGTCTGTAAAGTGGTTTCGTCAGTGACTGATATCAACTGCAGGACCACTGGAAGCCTGGTAGTACTGAATAAATAAGGACTGTCCACCAGTGCGCACAGATAAACCTATGAGGTTTTCAGTCCAGGATCGTCACATTGAGTATATTATCACTGAGCCACAGCATTGAAATTCAGTGATCCGTTTTCTCCTACTCTTTGTTTGATGGTAAATCACTATCCTTCGAGAACCTCTTAAATGAATGGTATGAAGCTATGTGTTATCCCTATAAACAGTCAATGATTATTACGGTATAGTACATGGGAAACTGCAGTTTTTTCTAGTTAGCGTCATAGAGGGGAGAGAAGCTGGTGACTGACAGACACATATGATAGAATTTCAATAGTAAATTCCAGCTTTGTTCATATATTCAGTCAACATTTGTATCTATTATTAGTATTCGACTACAGATTCTGATTGACACTAAATGTGAGCTAAAAGTTTTTACCAGAGATGAAAGGCTTTTGATGGTCATCTAATCCCAGTGTAGCAACAATAAAACGTGTGCTACAAACATTCACTCCCACACCCATCCAAATTTCACTGAATTCAACTGCGAACTTCATTCCAATGAAATATTCACCAAGCTGTCATCCGTTTATTAATTGGTACTTGTAACTTCCTGTTTTTAGTCTGTTTTGAAGTGTTTGACCACTGGTGATAGATGGGTTACTATGCGGATGCCTCGGTATTGCTTGGTTATTCAGTTTGTTGTAATTTGCTTGTGGGCGGTCCTATTGCCCCAGTGGTCTACTGGATTCGTACACAGTCATGCTGCTTTGTTGTCGGTTCTGGAGATAAAATATGTGGATTAGTTGTCCGTTTCTTGCATCAGTGACATAAAAATCGATACAACTAAGGTGCTGGTAGTTTCGCTTACAATCCATTTGATGAAAAATATGCACCACGATAGAAACACCAGTAAATACCTCACACTGACCTGTAATAGAAAAGTCGAAGGTAACCTAATGGATAACAGTTTGGCGTTTGAAGCAATGGGTGTCTGGTTTGAGTCTTAGTGGAAACGACACTTAGGTGCTGGTATATCCAGCTTGAGTCTCAAATAGGATAAAACACGTGTCGCAGATTCCACTGATAGCCACCGGCAGTATCATGTCATCTGTTTAGTTTGAAGGGAGAATAAACGTACTATTAAGCAATAGCTGCTGATAATCTGGAGGTTGCTAATCTACAGCCGACTTCACTATTTCCGATTCTCCCACAGTAATCCATAACAGCATTTTATGTATGTATGTATTTATTTTATAAAGAATGGAATATGCCTAATTCTTCAAGTATCTTGATGTGAGTTACTTGATTAGCTAATTAAATAAATCAGTTAGAAGGCTTTGGGGATAAGTTGATTGATTTCAGGGTAGTATTCTAAACAGACTGACATCAGTTGAAGAACCATTGAAAACCTGGAAGTAACCGACAGCTGTTTCTTCCTTGTACAGGACTCCTCAATAGTGTGTACCTATGACCCCCACAGGGATCGAGCCCAGGACCGTCAAATCTCAAGGCGAACGCGTTACCATTCAGTCACTGAGTTAAAATCCAATGGTGCACATCATCCAACTCTTGTCAATTCACGACTGTCAATTGTGACTATGGTCTCTCATGTGAATTCCGAAGAGCTCAACACTCACAACTAGATGGTTAAAATAGCTTGTTAACGTTTAATAATCTTCACCTTACTTCCATTGGTCGTATTTCGACTGTTAAAAAATATTACTCAAATCTATCCAAATAGGAATAATCCCATGTTCCATTAACCGATAAGTTTCACATGAAATTTTTAAAATTTTACTTAATCTGATCTTGCTTTACATAAGAGTTTAGACCTTAATATATGTTGGGAAAACTATTCAAAAGTTAAACTACATTCTTCCATCATTTCAGATGTTAAAAATATGTTGATATAATCAAAATGAGGTAATATTGTTTTCCTTTGGATAACAGTTATATATTACAAATCAGGTCAACACTAGATCCTTCAGTATCAAGTTCAACTCAGGAAAAGAAAATGAGCAAGGTGAACTACCCTTCCTTGATTGTCTAGTTAAATGGAAAGAAAATAGACATTTATGCTTGATCACTTCCAGATCAATAACAGATTACAACTCATCTCATCCCCTCTTATCAGTGCAAAGGTCTCTGTTGCCCCCAGTTATTAGGGAGGTAATGAATGAAAATAAAAACGTTTGTGAACAAGATTCTTAGAATAAATAAATATCCAGTAAGATTCATTCACCAAATAGGAAATATTATAAAACAAAACGGTAAAAGTTCCCTTGAATCATAAACCACAACAACAGTCACGTCATACAGATCCTGCAACTTGGATAAGATTAGGAGAGTGCTCAGCATATGTCACATCAGAGTGTTCTGCAGAACACCAAACACATTACAGAGCACCTTATGATTATACTTCTCCCTTGGGTTCCTTGTGGAACATAGGGATTCACTAGCACGTCTCCATTTCACTCTCTTCTCTCCAGTATTTTCAACCTTGCACCGCCACTGCCCACAACATTTCACTCATTCTTCACACAACTTCGGACTCCCAAATAGTCATTTCCCATTTACGCTACACTCGACGACCTCACCTGACACGTGATGTCCCAAAACTGTCTTCTCAGTGTATGTCCAGTTCATTCCAATCCATCTCCACTTTCTTCGCCATATTTCTTAGGCGATGGCTTTCCGCTATCTTTCCGATCCTGGCATTCATATCTTCATCTGTGACACCGCCGCCCACGACCACGCCCACACAGCCCATACTTGAAACCATGCTGGTCCGCCTACATAGGTGAAACAGACAACTTCCTTTAGGTTTCTCCAGTTCATGGTGATTCCTGCCTCTTCTCGTTGATGCTGTTGTTGCTTGGGCATACTTCATCACCTCCGTCTTCTCCACCTTCACCTGAACGAAGTCCCATCTCCTTTCACTGTCCTCCCTCTTCTCTCAACTTGTTGCTTTTCGCTTGTAGATCTTCGAGGTTGTGAGACATTAGACAGAATTCATCATCGGCGACGAAATCCAAATCTTCTCCTGAACTGTTTCCATTGGTACAGTCAGTGTATACCCATCTTGTCAGAGCTCCTCACAGTTGTCTGCTGTATGATCCAGTCGAGTGCAGTCGATCACAATCAGGAAGATGATCGGTGATAGTAGGCGGCAAACTCGGCTCACTCCTTCACGTCTTCACTCATAAAGCATCATTGAGATTTCCATCATGATTCACTACTTGACATGTAGCATCACATAGCATCATGTAGCTGCTGTTCAATCACCTTGATAATGGTCTGTGGCACTAAGATCGTAGTGTTGTAGTAGCAGCTGTCAAATCAATTCTCGGTCAACACTGTCGAAGGCCTTTTCAAAATCGATGAATTTGAGGTTGAGTTGAGTTGAGTTGAGTCAAGTTGACTGCCATTCTACGCTCTCTTCTCTGATGATGTGTAGTGTAGCGTAGCATTTGATCTGCACATGATTCGTACTTACAGCCAGTCAGTCAGTCAGTCAGTCAGCCAGCCAACCTGTTCCGGTGGAAATTTTGAATGCAGAGCATCTCTCAGTCTCTCCAGGATGATGAGGCTTAATATTTTGCTATGGGTGAACACGGACAGCAGCATGATTCCTCACCATTTCTTGCGAAGACTTAGTTGACTTAGGTTGCTTGGGAGTTTGACAAGGTAGCCCTTCTTTCAATCTGCAGGTACCGCAGAGCACCTTAGTCCATATGAATAACAGAACTCCCTTGGATTCACAATCTAATATTGTCTAAAAAATAAAGGCCTCAAACTTTGATGCCATATACGTGGCACAGACTTCATGTGAAATCTAAGGAAAAATGAACACTTAAAGGCTTCTACCTCACCCCCTAGAAATCCAGTAGAGTTGAATAAGATCGAATATACTTTAATCAGAGCTTTCAATGCTGCAGTTTCAGGTCACAAGATTGACTCTGACAACATCGAAATTATTCAGAAAGGTTTTAAAAGCCATAAGGAACGTCTCCGTTGCAGAATCTGTTGACAGCAAGTGGAGTCAAAATTGTTCAAATAGAAATTAGAGGATGAATAATAACTTGACCTGGTTTCAACCCAACCCCACAGCCAACTTACAACTGATAAGATCCATAAGTAAGTATGCCAACTTCAATCTTCAATTCACACCCCAATACGCTTAAAGCACTGCATATATTCGCCGTTTTGTTAAGCAATTTAACAATACAAACTTACCCATCTAGTAAAACTCAAATTAAGTTGTCTTATGTAATTATCAGTCTGACTGTCTAGAATAGCCGTGACTTAGAAGATTGTATTATTGATATTGGAAGGATGACTGGAGGTAGAATAAAAATCTGGGTCGCAAAGGGATTCGAACCAACGGCCTCTAGGTTAACGGCGCCACGCTGTACCAAATGAGCTACGAGACCACCACCACCCTCCCGATTGAATGAATCTTGTCAGCACTCAGCAATCAACAACATTAGTCTGCTTACTCTCGGGTGACCAACAAACGAGTATCCATTTCGAATAATTCCATTTAGTTGGGGTCGGTGACATTACAGATCCCGAGAAATGCAAGTAATTCGACTTTCATATAGATTAGTGACCGTCTTAAAACCTTTGTATTGAGTCTGACATTGAGCTTTAAATTCAGCAAGAAAAACATTTACTGAACAGCTAGACCCAAGCTCAAATAGACTGCTGATGAGTAGTATAACTGAACGAAACACCTATCTAGCACATCCTCTTTCTCGGAGACTACTCAATCTATTTGAGTATACCGTACAAATAATAAAATGTGAGAATGTTTTCGAACATGAATAAAACATTAACCAACCTTCTTTACGCATTCCAACTTTAATACACTTTTGAAAACGACAATATTGACATTGATTACGATGGTGTATATCGATAGGACATTGTCTATTTCCCCGACAAGTGTAATTCAATTTACGTCTGACTGATCGCTTAAAAAAACTTTTACATCCTTCACAAGTATGCTGACCATAGTGTTTACCACTACTTTTATCTCCGCACACAACACATTCCATATTTTGTCCATTTTTTGAATTGATTTCTGTTTCATATTCTTCAAGATGTTCATCGTGAACTTCTTCTTCATCGTCATCGTCTTCATCGTCATCGTAATCGTTTTCATCCTCTACAACAGGGGGTTGTTCATTAATTCGTCGACTTCGCTTATGTCTTACATTGTCATTCTCATTGAAATCGCCACCTTTATCATCAACATTTATGTCAATTTGAATTGTATCAAGTTGAGACTCATTGGTTTGGTGCGCTTTTTCAAAATATTTACTGTTGTTAGTATCCTTATCATTACTTATCGAATATTTATTCCATTTTTTTGTCTGTTTTGTAAACTTTGAGGATGTTTTCTCATGTTTATAATTTTTATTATTACAATTATCGTTAATATTCATATAACTAATATTGGTAGCAGCGGTGGTAGTTATATTGGAGTCATTTTCTTTCATTAATTTCAAATACTTTTGTTCAGTGTTCATGTGCGAGTTAAAATTAAACATTGAAATATTGTTTCTTTTATCTCTAGTTTTATCATTTGATGTTATTCCACAGAAATTATCAACATCATCAGTTAAATACATTTTTGTTGGTATCTGTGATTCATAATGATTCAATTGATCATAATTAGCATAATGTTCTTGTAGGAAATTTCGATCATATGGTGGTGAATTTTTGAAAAGGGATTCTGTATCATTCAGTGGGAAGTGTCTTTTGCCTAAAATACTCATTTCTGTACTTAAATTAACAGGTAGAGGATGAAATGCAGATGATCTCTTTGCACTTGACAAATTGGGTACATGTGTAGTTGATGGGGAGTGCATATGAGGTGATGAAGCCACTGTGTTATGACACATAGATGACAAGGTGGATGTCCATGAAGATAAAGATGATGATGATGATGATGGTGATGACAATATTGATGTGGAGGATACTATCGAAGATGCCTGACTGTAGTTATCTTCCAGTCCCCATAAGTGTGGAAATAATAAGTCCGGTGGAGCAAATATTGATGGAAAATTAAAGCTTCTTAAACTGTTTGGAGTTGACATGATGTGCATCAAATGGGTAAATGATTGTCCTTTTTTGATTATTTGTTCATTTGTTTAAACAAAGTGTAGTTATTTAGTGGCGGTTTCTTGAGTAAAAAAAACTTCAAGTAACTATCAAATTATTATTTTGTCTTCTTTTCTTCATCTTTCTGCCCACTTATTTGCATTATAAAGCGTTTTCAATAAATCTGCTCATAACCCTGACTGTTATCTTGATCTCTGTGGTGGAGGGGTGAACTGTTAGAATGGACGCTATGCACACATACACAAAACATAGAATGCACAAAATATGAAGAATTTGTGTGTATTCTTGTTACAAAGTGGATAACATCTCTTTGTGCTGTTCAAATCGTAAAAATTATGTTTGAAGCTATTCATCACATGTGTATTGAATCCACAAACGATTGTCATCTTTCCTTTCTGGTGCTTTTCAGACCCCCTTATCTTAAATTACTATTATTATTACCACTACTAATTGTAAGACTACTATCACCGTTATCCCATCTCCTAAGAAAGATAGTCAGTGGCTACAATTCGTGTCATTTTAATTCATTCACCTTTTTGTATCTATTCTTGTTGGGGTGATAAAGTGGTAAACAAGCTTAATGGTAAGAGGATGAGATGAAGGAAAATCATCAACCTCATTATCATCATCATGAAAGGCTTCCAATCATATTTAAATCTCCTCTGACTCTGTCCACCTACAATCTGTAGCTATATATGACATAAGGTCTTAACCATAGGGCAATAAATAAGACGAAAAAGTCAAATAGGTAGACATAGAAAAAAGCACAAGGGATAGACAGGAAATTTGTACGTATGCATATAAGTGTTAAAAATTCCTATATCTGTAAAATAGAAAAGGCGAATCATGTCTCCCTTCCTTGTATCTACATTCTCTAACCCATTCCCCTTGTTACACCTATTCAACCAACCAGTTATTCAGTTAGCAGACGTTTAACTCACACTAACTAGCCAGTGTTGAAGATGATTTTGTTTAACAGGTCAGACAGTCAAAGCGACGAACAAACATTAAAATGATAGTTTGTGAATGTTCAACGGTTTTTGATGTTCAATTATCAGTGTTAACAAACAATAGTGTTGAATCGACTAGTTTGAATAAACCTTTTTATAAGCGCTATACATTTCGAACCATCTGATCACACATGGACTTCTCGAACTATTTATGTGAAAATTTACGAAAAAGGTCAATGAAGTTAATAGGAAACAGAAAATGAACACGACTCAAAATCACATTAGCCTGACTTGTGAACAAGAGACGAACAACCAGCTACCGTTCCTAGACGTATTGCTCAGTCGACGGGAGGATGGCTCGATCAGGAGGTCGATCTATGAGAAACCCACATGGACAGGGCAATATCTTAATTTCCATAGCTATTGCCCAGTCCAATATAAACGTGGTTTAGTCAGATGCTTAGTCAACATGATAAACCGTATCTGCACCGATGACACCAGGGAGGAAGAAACCAACATACTGACGACAACTCTGATACAGAATGGATACCCGTTGAGATTCATCCACCGGCGTGAAAGTTATGTACCACTGAAAAGTACACAGTGTTCCGTTGCTAAGACAAATGTCTACATCTCATTACCATTTAGAGGTGATTCACATAGCTTTGTTGTGAGGAAAAGACTTAGATCGGCCATCTGTAAAACGTATTATGCAGCTAAGGTCATCATCGTAGAGAAGACCAAGTCCATGTTACAGCACAAACCGAAACAACATATACGATAACATCACATCTCACTGTGTTTATCAATTTACATGTATGTGTGGACACATATATAGGGAGGAGTAATCGTGATATGCAGTTAAGGAAGGTACCACAGTGGCTACAAAAACAAATGACCTCAACAGATCCGATAAGTGCAGGTGACAAAAATCCATCTTCGTCTATCGCTAAACATAAACTAGAAACCAACCATAAGATAGACATGAAAAAAGTCATGAAAGTACTACATAAAAGTGGTCAGAGCCGAGTGCTTAAATTTATTGAAGCTCTTGCCATCCGTAAATTTAAACCCCCTTTATGTATACAAAAATAATTCGTACTCACGTTGAACCTACCTTGGTAGTATTGATTTTAATTTTCATATCAAGAGTAAGGTTTTCTTTTTTTTCTATCCCTTCCTATTCCTATGTTTTCTATTAACTTCATGGACCTTTTTCGTAAATTTTCACATAAATAGTTTGACAAGCCCATGTGTGATCAGATTGTTCAAAATGTATAGCGCTAATACATCACATGTTTCAGATAATCTTCGTCTTCTCATTACGGTGTAAATTTATCAAAGGGACCACTTGCTTTAAACCCTTTTATGGTAGATTAGTTAGACACTAAGGAAATAAAGGGATTTTACGATGAGGCAACGCACGAAATATTCACATCGTCACAAAATAGTTGTAATTAAGACTCTGTAGTGTTTCTTACCAGTTGATTTCCACACAAACAATCACACATGCAAGCGCCTACATCAGACCCTGAAAATTCTTACAAGAAAAAAACTGGGAAATTAGTCAGCTTAGTAGGTGGAGTTGTTCGATAGCGGCTGAGAGATGGGCCCCTATGTGGAAGCCTTGGTACTGTCTGATTACTCACTATGTTATAATCTGCTTCATGACTGGCAGTGGAATCTGCGACACGTGTTTTATCCTATTTGAGACTCAAGCTGGATATACCAGCACCTAAGTGTCGTTTCCACTAAGACTCAAACCAGACACCCATTGCTTCAAACGCCAAACTGTTATCCATTAGGTTACCTTCGACTTTTCTATTACAGGTCAGTGTGAGGTATTTACTGGTGTTTCTATCGTGGTGCATATTTTTCATCAAATGGATTGTAAGCGAAACTACCAGCACCTTAGTTGTATCGATTTTTATGTCACTGATGCAAGAAACGGACAACTAATCCACATATTTTATCTCCAGGATCAACAATAGCCCACTGTGACTGTATTTGCGTAGTTTAATTTTGCAGACTACACGTTAATTGACTGATAATGACAGGTCCACAACCTTTGTGACAAAATATTAATTAGTTGAATATTTTCACGACGGTGACACGTCTGATGTATGCATAGCCGATAGTTAACGATAGTGGGATAGTATTTATCATGCACTGACACCAAATGAGGAACCAATGAAAACCTGGGAGCACTGGACAGCTGTTTCGTCCTAGTGTGGGGCTCCTCGGCAGTGCGCACTCATGACCCGTTAGTGGTCGAATCCAGGGCCTTCAAATTTCATGGCAAACGCGTTAACTATTTAGCCGCCAGATCGGAGTTCAATGGTTCACAGTTTTCAACTTCTATCAATTAGCGATATAGCGAGACTATCATCCAAGGTCTTCAGATGGCATCCGTTTCCCACACAGGTCATGGCTTCTCATTAGAACTTCGTCATATCTATCTGGAAGCATGTCCCAGGTTTTCAATAGTTCCCCCAACTGATGTCAGTTCGTGATGAATACTACTTCCAAATTAAAGTCTTTATTCTTCTCAGAAATAAGTTATCAACAAGTTTCTAGAAAGTTTTGTAGAAAATGGTCACAAAATTAAATATTGTAAAATGACGTCTGAATAAATTGTTTTTCAAAGCAAATAAAATAATTACCTAAAATATATTCATCCAAATTTCACACTGCTTATTTTGGCTTGTAATGACAAAAAAACAAATGACTTCATGATGGCATTTATCATGGAGTGACACAAATTGGAGAAATATTTGGGACCTTGGGGAACTGAACACCTGTCTCATCCTACCATGGGATTCCTTAGTAGTGCACGTCAGTGACCCTTACGGTGATCGAACCTAGGATCTCCAGGTTCCCTGTCTAGGACGTTACTATTGACCCAGTGAGTTAGAATCCACTGGTCAGCACTTCCTAATTTTGTCAGTTTACGGCACAGTACAACCTCTATCCAGTGTGGTCGAAGTTCCTTGGTTCGATCCCTTGTGGGGTTACAGGTGTGCACTGCTGAGGAGTGACTTAGTATGTTGAGGTATCTTTCCAATGTCCCAAGATTTCCAATGGTTCTTCAATTTATGTCAGTCCGTGATGAATACTAACCTGAAATCATCTGATGCTTGTTTGGATTTTTTGTCACTACAAGCCAAAGTAAGCGAAGAGTGAAATTTGATTGAGTATATTTTAGCTAATTATTGTATTTATTTTTAAAGGCAAATTATTCAGAAGTCATTTTACAATATTTAATTTTGTAACTATTTTTCGCAAAACTATCTACAGACTTATATATAATCGTTTCACACCGATGTTTGAAAAGTTATAGTGATGTGACCAACATTTTGTGGCCCAAATAGTTGAGCACACCGTTACCCTCCAAAGACAAACGAATACGAAAAGGTCAAGTAAATGGTAATGAAAATGATCTATCGAACGTGACAGTTATTTATTATATCTGTGTCAGTTGTGTCGATCTGAAGATAGAGCTTCTCCCAATCTCAGTAATTTCATTTATCACATTCTGTATGTATATTCATACAACGTTAATTCCAACTCACCAAACCCTATCCAACATTTAGCTACTCTGAAGCTTCCTCCTTTCAAACTACTGTCACTTTCTGCAGCTAATGTCTGCAGTAGAATTAGTCACTAGCTGACCGTAAACAAGGCTTAGTTATTACAGGTTCACGACCTGATTTTTAACCAATTTAGTCCTCTTTTTTGATACCCTACTACTTTTACTCAGAGTTACAAACAACACTGACACTTTCCTCCAACATAGTTTAGTAAGTTATGATAACCTAAGGCTATCTATTATTCTCTCTAGCTCTGTCTTCCACACACATACTCATATACACATTGCCAATTTCTATTCAATTTATGCACTAAGTAGTTAGACGAAACTGATAAGCAAGACTGGAATGTACACATGCAGACAAATGATTAAACAGTTCTCTTTTATTTTCATATCTCTTGAGTAATTTACGGGTAGAAATATAATCATAGCAGTAGTAAAATGA